AATGGACTAGAGCTTGTTGCAGTATCTCACTAACAGTCTCTTACAACCTTCTGCTGCTTCCGGGTAGTTCTTAACTTTCTCCCTAATTTTAATTTCTAAATTCGCTATAAACGCTTAGGATTCTCGAAGGCACCTTCCAGCAAGTATATCGGGGTTTAGACATAAAGCAGTAGGTGTTCATTCACTCTTTAGTGTACGAAAGAAATGTAAGAAATTTTCGAACTAAAAAATGGGTCATTTTTCTCGCGCTGTGGACTAGTCTTCGTGCGGAGAGTCTAGAACATCTTGAAAAACGAGAGAGGATACTTGGTTACAAAAGATTACAGGGACGAGCGAGACGAAGACACCACGCAGAGGAGGGCTAAAACTCTAGCGCTTTCGCCATGCATTCTGAGTGGCGAAAGTGGTAGCACTGGAAATAAGATAAGGCATGGCTTCGACGCCTGAGGCTTTCCTCAAGCCTGGACCGCTCAAAGCAATATTTGGCAAACATTGAGTTAACATATTATACTTTCCTCCCCCTGGTGATCAAAAGGTTTGGCAAAAAAACAGTTTTTTTATGAAAGGTGAATTTTCTATGAAGTTCAGCATGGACATCTGTTTATCGATCGCGATTCGACAATATTCCCTCTGATTTTGAACTACCTACGAGATGGTAACATTCCGTTGCCACGCGATGAGTACTACTTGGAAAGGATCCTCAGAGAAGCGAGGTCAGGAAAAACCTCTGTCCTGTTTTGATAATTACCTACCCTGAGGATTTTTCAAGCCCTTCTCGTTGATTATGCGATCAGATTTACTTCTAGGTTCTACAAACTGCACGGTCTATGCTGTGATATCGAAAAGAAGATTGAGTTTGGTGCAAAGCAAAAAACCAGAGAAGCTCCGAAGACACCGTTGGTTACAATCTGAAACTGTTTTCTCAAATTTCCAGTCAGATGCTTTTAGCTTCGGGAAATGCAGCATTTAGAAGCTCTATGGCCATTTGCGTGATTGTTTGAAATGGGTTACGCTGGGATCAAGATGACCACGTTATCGAAAGTTGGCGTTAACTTTTCATGCTTACAAGGAGGTCGTTCAGGGTGTGCCAAGCTTTTTCAAAATGGTTTCTTGCATGACATTGGGGCACATGTGGGAACCACAGAACCATGGTTCATTTTTCCTGAACGGCCCTCTGAATACCAGAAAAGGGGTCCCTAGTTCGATTCCTCGTGGTGACAAATTTTTGCATTTCGAGTTGACGTTTCAAAATTCGCGCAAAATGGAGTTAGCATGAATAATTAGTACCATATTCATGATTAGGACCGTCAGTAACCCTTACAAATAGACTTTGATTAAAAAACTGGTGGAAAAGGTGTGACATCCACAGG